TTCAGTGTTGACCCTTCCGAACTAAACAGCGAAATGGAGGACAATTGTTGAAACTAATTCGATTTAAATCAGGGTAAATTGTGGAGCTGCAAGAAAAGAAAGATTGACAATGAACCAACGCTTTGATTACGTATCAATCCATAAACGGTTCATTCAACTCCAGATAAAAATTAAACATGGGCGTTGCCGTAAAACACGCCTGTATAACTTTTAATTTGATCCTTTTTCGATTTGCAGCTCAACCAATATTTATTGGGGATCGAAAGGAAAGTATGCCAGTGTGTGGTTACGAGTTTTCTCATCAGTTCTATCATAAATCTCTCTATCCCTGGGTGATCATCCCTTCATCAATTTAGACACAATCAAATAGGCAGATTTTGCTGACTGGAACGATACATGGGGGCTATACCATCCCAAGGTTTATCGATTTAAATTAAGCTAAAGGGCATCACCCACGCAGTCCTATGTGCTGTTGTGCAGTGCCCACAGATCTGGCCTTTCAACCCCAGCGTTCACACTCCGAATTCCACCAAGAGACAAAAAACAGTATGCCGTATCGGCCAATCGGAAACAGAAATTAGAGTTTTGTCAGTGACGTTTGTCGGCCTCGTGGCACAAGTTCTTCATATAATAGGGGATAGGATAGATGGACACGTCAATAAATCTTTATGATGAAATTTTGTTAACCAGTACGAAAATCGAAAGGTTTGCTAAGTGTATTCATCTCCGATGGCTTGATCACGTTTTGCGTATGTCTGTCCATTGACTACCTACCCTCTGTTTGCACGTGCTGGAAAAGGTTAGAAGAAGCGCCGTGGCGATCAGATCAGTAATATATACATATATATACTTGTTTTCTACTAAATTGTGTTAACCACATTTCTTCTAAATTCGTTCCCGTTACCAAGATTATCGAACCAAACTGAATTCAAATGAAAGGGATTTTTCAAGATTTCAAGGTCTAAATTTGCAAGTTGTGATCCATAATTTGACATGAACCTTGATTAAAGCCGATGAACAATTCTTAGGTTGTTGAATCGAATTCAAACTTTAGAAAATCAAAACAACATGTTTAGTTGCTTTTGTTATCCTTCTCGTTACTTTTGCTGTGTTGTTGTTGCTGTTCTTAATGTTCTTGTTGTTGTCAAACCGTCTGCATCGAATTTACTTTCAGTCGAAAGGAATGAAATTAATGTCGGAAGATTTGGAGTGGATGCGCTGAAAACGCTAACCGAATAAATCTTTGTTCAGCTGAATGAGAGACAACAACCACCATAGAAATGATTAAAACTATGTGGTTGAGGTTTTTCATAAGTACAATAAATTCACTTTTCTTGAATCACATTTCAGATGCAGCCATCAAAATGAATAAACGGCGTGCGCTCAACATTCATCGAATGTATAATCCGAAAGAAGCTAATCATATTCCATTTGTACTGCCTTCTATCGAGTTGAATCCAAGCAACAGTTGCACGCGTGCCAGTAGCCGTTTGCTTCTTTCAAGATCTAGCTTTGCTAGTGAAACTTTACCGTTCGTGGACGGACAGTGGAGCGATGAGTCCACGGAGCATGATCACGGATTCTTGTTGAACTCTTTGAACTCCGCGGAGAACGGCGACGCGGATGAGGAGGACGCTGACTGGTAGGTCGTTCTATCATGTTTATCACTCCTTGCGGACGAGTTGCCCAAATGAGCTGATCACAGTACATGATCCGTTGAAGATACTGCGCCATTCTCATCAATGGTATTAAACATATTTCGTAATATTAGATTTGTTTCATAATGGTCTTCTATGCTTCAGCGTAAAACACTTTTGCACAACAAGACGTCTTTCTGAGATAAGCGTTTCTCGAAACAACATCTCCTTTATTGTTCTCAGCTAGATCTTTGCGGGTATTTCCAATATGTAATTTTTAACGTTGTTATATTTAACTCACCACTGATGATATTGGAATAACCGGAGTCAAAATTGTGTTGATCAAAGCCCCATAATATGAAGAAAACAAACTATCTTCGAAGAGCAGCATAGGTTTTATTTCACTTGTTACCGTTACTTGATGTTTCCATTACTCAAACGACTCATATCAAGTTTCGCTTAGTGAAAATCTATGAACCAGATATGTCTGCTGTTTGTAGTCCGTGTTTATCTTAGTCTGTGTGTTACAATCACTACGGTTGTTGTGAAGGTGATTGCGGGTAGATTCGATTACCTATCAGTAAAAAAGTGTGCCACTTATCATGTGCTCAGCGGATATACGGCAATCACCATTCCCAGCACACTGCAGAAGAGAGGGAACGAGATCTCTAGCGGTAATTTCTCACAAATGAATCTCCACGAAAGCAAAACAATTCAGTGTGACACACCGCCGAAAAGACATGATTGTACAGACTTAATTAAAAGATTAAACAAGTCTGTAGTTCTCTTAACACTTTCAAGTGATACATTGGCTTGTCATTTCAAAACAAAATTGAATTTTCTCGACCGTTATAAATCAAAGTTTGGTAGTCTGCTTATATCTATTGCTCCTAATTGATGTTGTAAGAGCATAGATCAGATCTATGCCCAATGACGAGACTTTTGTAAGCTAGTGCAAAAAGCACAATCGGAGTGTGGAATGAATCAGTTGTACAGAATCAAACTGAAGAGTGTCATGAAAATTATGAATAGTAACTTCAATAACTGTTTCAGCGTGTATTATAATCTACAAGGGCAGCTCGAGTTTCAGGTAACGTGCACGTTGATACCTCATTCCATATCACCATCTCAGTTAGAGTGCAATTAAACTAACCCCATCCTCAAATTTTAAACTTTTAAATTCATGCACCCATTGGTCACAAAGACAGAAAAATTATTAACGAAAGCTTGAAACTTAGTGGATTCTTCACTTACTATAACAAATTTACTAGAAGATTACTAGAAAATTTACTGACAGCAATTAAATCAAAACCAAATGCTTGCAGGAAGTAGAAAGTAGCTGATGAATCATATGCAATACAAAATATGAAAAGCGTAGAGAACGCGAAAAAATACCATTTTTGTAGGAATCTCAGAACAGGAACGCTTCTTAACTCAAATGTCGCCCTATCGACAGACACCTTTCGCTAGGGGACGGGTCAATTCCGACTAACTGATTTTAAATTCCTTATCAAATCTATCAGGACAGAAATGATCAGCCCGTGGAGGCAAATTGTACATTCCTGAAAATGATGTGCTACAAGAATATAAACAGTGCATCCTATAATAGGTTTAAAACTAATCTAGTTTCCACAAGTGGTTGGAAATCGACAGAGAGGCTACGAGGGACAATCCTAGAATGTTCCGCTCTTGAGCAAATCACAGACCGTTTATGAACACATGCGCGTGATACAGAACAATGAAAATTGCATGAAGAAAGAATAGATGCAGGAAGTAGTGAAGATTAGGGAAGAGAGCGATATAAGAAAAAATCCGGTAATAGCAGAATGTATTCAATGTGGTGGGTCATAAATCCTTTCAGACGAAGTCACAAAACTCCCTGATTAGTCTATTGAAGGTATACCACAGATAAGCTTTATGTTGAAATGAGTTTTTTTTGAGACTACAGAGAAAGATTCAATAAAATTACATTTAGAACGTTTAGAAAGATAATTACTGTATTAAGATTAACTTACAAAAAAGCCACCAAAACCACCGCCCGAAAATGCAAGGGAATGTGGTTGCACAAATTGACACGGCAATGGAATATTTTTACCAAATGTCGCAAGAGTTATCCAAAATGTCGACAAAAAATGACAACACACAAACAATAGAATCCAATGAACGTAAAATTAAAGAAGAGAGAACAGCAAGTTATTCTGGCATACACTGTGCGCTGCTAATCTGCTTACCATGCTGGCAATTCGGTTGAGCAACCCAAGTATTACGGATTATGAATCGAATGGGGACTTGAACCAAAAGGGAATAAAAATATCAAGAGGCAGACATCGTACAGACGACTGAAGATTTTATTTGTCACGAGTCAATACGTACACTGCTTATCGTTTCATTGGGAATAACACACCACGTAAACTTGGGACAAGGGACTCCATTTCATCATGGGTGTCAGCAGAACGACAGTAATTCGGCGGATCACGCATGTAAAATGATTACGAGAGTACATGAATATCATTAATGGTATTATATATATATCAGTATTGGAATACATTTATTTATTGGACACAACACATTTATTGTGCGAATTGTTGTCTTTGGTAGTTTAAAGCCTTATGTCGAGTTGTTAAACTCTCAATATCTTTGGTGGGATTTGAACCCACGCATGGACGCCGCCTCCGTTATGAGATGTGGAAAAATCAAAGTTATCGGTGTGGCGTCACAGATAAGTTGTTATAGCGTGCACCATGCAAAAGCATAGGCTTTCTCCAAGCGTGGGTTCGAATGCCACCAAGACTGGCACACTCTTTATAATTCGAGCATAACTCCAATTGATTGTTTCAATTAATTACTTAGCAAATTATTAGTCGATACATTTAATTTCGCTCATGATGAAGTGGAAAATTTGTTCGACGCCATTCACATTTCTAGACTTGCAAGCGCGCTGCTTCTCGGAAGATATCCTAGGTACAGTGAATCGACTTTTCACGGTTTTTTTTACAAAAAATGTTCAAAGTCTTGTTTATTGCAATAAACGTTTTCTGAGCAATACGTCGAGGATTCTAGAGACTGGCTACAACAGATACTTGGTAAACAACATAGGGTATGCTAGATTTTTTAACATCTATGCTTCAGCATCCCCTCGATTTCCCAACCCATTTAATTTCCTCGTATTTCGCATCTTTTCATTAACTCCCGCGTTGCCAATTGTCTGGTTTAAATTATCTCCGTCGTGGCTGATCCAACAGGTTTTTGAACAAAATATATCAGACAGTGTTGAGAAGCAAGAAAACATGGTTGAAGATGAAACTGAGCAAATTTGTCTTGTGTTTTGTCTGGTTTTTGATTGCAGTTCATTATCCCCTCAGTTACTGCTAAATTTTAATTACTTCCAAATCGCCCAACGATCACAGGATCCAATAGAACACTTTAGAGCGGTAGAAGTAGGCTCACTATTATTATAATTAATGGAAATACAGAAGTGCTTAAAATAGACGAAAAACAATTGAACTGAAATTAGATTCTATGTTCAGTCAGACCGATTCAAACCAGGATCAGCTAGGATTTGGAGACTATCCAAATTCATCATCTGACTAGGACATTTATCGATTAAAAAAATGAGAATTAACATAGATTTGGAAAACAATGCATGCAAACAATAACAGAAAAACTAATAATTGCGAGTAGAAAGCTCTGAACGTGAGAAAGATACAAAGGATTAGTTTAATGAAACAATAATTGTCAGTGGCGCACTCACAAATTACACAATTCCTGATCTTATATATATATATATATATATATATATCGACCATAAAAACGGGTTGTGCGCTTCTAATCACGTTTGCTTTATTCATCATTCTCCTCAAACCATGCGAATAAGATGGTGATCTCCATAGATTGGAAAAACGATTATCATCTATTAAGTACGCTCAGGGTACTAAACCCGGAATTCAGAGGAAACCAGTTCCACACCGGATGCATTTGTTGCGTTCGCACGCGGACCATATTTTACTATCATGAGACGCGATTTCATTCAGCTGGAATGTACCACTACTGATTCGTTGATCAGATATGGGTTATATTTTTTCTCATGTTGGTTGATACGAACCTCACACAACTTGATCAAATTTCGATGACTACTTATGTTTTGCAGACCGATCTGTTCAGGTAATGAAGGCCGAGTTGTCAATGGATCTAATCCATCGTAGCAAAGGTATTTTTCACATCGATGTAGAGCTACATCTTACTGGGGAAAAACAGTGATGGACAATAAACTTTAGTTACTCTGACCGGGTAAAAATGTCAATCAGTAAAACTCTATAACAACCGCTGGGTGCGGATAGTCGTTCTCTGAAAAAGAAATTACCAAATCCAACTGCTCGGTCACATTTCGCGCATTTCCCACCTTGCTTACACTCTCCTGCTATGTAATTGGTAAAGAGGTCGATAGCAACACAGCGGTATATCATAAATCAGTGTATGGGTGTGAAGAAGTAAGGTTTTCAATTCGCTTCGGTCGGTGCTGACTGCCTTTCTAATTAGGGCCGAAGGGATGAGAATGGTCTTTGACCAGAGACACGGATGCTTTATGGTTTGTCTGTTAACATCCTGTACATTGTGAAACAGCAAAAAAATGAATGAACCGCACACAAAATGTCACGCACCTCCTTCTTTGTCAGCCATTTACTTCGTTTTCCTCATTTGCACCCAAATCACCCTTTCGATTTTTACTACTGATTTGTAAACAATATGAGTGACCCTGAGCCACTTCTCATGGACTTGTTTGTGGTAAAATTACATAACTGATGCACATAAATCTAGCTCAAGTCCGCCATGATCACCCTTATGTGTTAATGCTTGTTGTATAAACGATGAAAAATCGACCTGAACCATGCCATGGGGAAACTAAACATGACATGCTTCACGATTAAAGCCGAAGAAAAGAAACATCTGCGGCTCGTATATATTCATTTCATCAATCATTTAGACGGATTGGTTCAAAGGGTGGTAT